AAACGTATGTCCAAACACATTTTCATCTTCAAAACCTCACCCAAATCAAAATTTTCAATCATTACTTTCCCACGCCTCATGTAATTTTTCACATCTTGTATTTTCAAGGTCATATCAAATACCATGATTAAGTAATTTAATGAGGTAAAATATATATTACTAATCATAACTAAAATATATTAATTTGATGCAAACTCTTGAGTATTTACGGCTGGAAGTAGGTTTCAGAATTTTCCTTAATTCAATGTTAGGGTGACAGTGATGGTAAGTTTACCGTTGAGAGAAGTCATGATGTAAACTTAATCTCTCTAATTATGGGTAATTTTTGGGGTTTCGATAAATTAATAGGTTTGGAGAGTGCACTGTACACTCCCTTTTTGTCATACTATGAATCTGGCAAATAGTATTAAATTGGACATAGAAGCAAAATCATCTTCACATTCAACTAAAGACAAACAACATTTCATCATCTTCCCCCATAGTTTTGCATTATTAGCCCCTTTTTTCTAATTCTACAAACTCCACAATCACACCTCCTTTTCTGTTCTTCTGCTAAAAACCCACCATACAAAACACAGCTTTTTACAGTTTCAGACCCCACTATAATCCAATGTCTATAACAATGTACTGAAAACCAAGAAATCAATGTCCTATCCTAGCTAATGGACTTAGACAGACCCCATCACCGCACCAACATTACTACTACTACTACAACCAGTGAACTTTTCATCTGCTTCACTTCTCGTCTTTCTTCATCTTCAATGAGACTCTCCAAATCCATTCTTAGCCCAAGCCATGCTCGTGACACTCCTCTTTCTCTTTCCACTTCCCTCAGCCGTAGGCTTAAAACAAACGGCAGTATCAAAGGTGGCCAGTCCCCTATGTTTCCCTGCAATAACAAGAAACGTGGGTCTAGTTTTGAAAACCCAGAACCTTCCTCTCCTAAAGTAACGTGTATTGGTCAAGTGAAAATGAAAACCAAGAAAAAAGTAAAACAGACACGTAGTTTGTCCAAAAGAAGAGGCGATGGAAGTTTCAGGAAAATTGAACAAGCCCCTGCTGATGTATTGAATCAAAGGAGTTTAAGCGTGCATTTTCAGCCACCACAAGAATGTGCGGCACATAGAAATCAGAGGTGGGTTCATTTGCCATTGACGATATACGAAACTTTGAGGGAGTTCAGCTGTTTGCTTCCGTGTCGTTCGTCGTGTTTCTCGACGAATGAGAAAGAAAAGGAAGAGAAAATTAACGGATCTAAGTGTGTTTTTGCTAGATGGCTAGTTGCATTACAAAATGGGGAAGCAGAAAAAAATAGAGAGATTGAGTTTGTGGTGGCTAATAATGGTGAAGAAGAAGAGAGAATTGGGGAAATGAAAAGTAGAATGAGGAGTTCAAGAAGGCATGTGTTTGAAGATATTGAGTTTAAGGATATTGAAAGTAGTGTTGAAATGAAGGAATTAGGAGAACCAGAGGAAGAAGAGAAAGCCAGAGTTAGCATTTGTGTTCCGCCTAAGAATGCTTTACTTTTAATGAGATGTCGATCTGATCCTATGAAAATGGCGGATCTTACTAATAAGTTCTGGGAATCACCTGCTCGAAAAGAAACTAATGAAAAAGAAGAAGAAAATAAGGAAGAAAATGGAGGAAATGAGCAGGTGGAAAAAGTACTAGTAGATGCAGAGAAATGTGAGTGGAATAATGAGCTTCAAGTGATTGACAAACGGTGCGAAGAGCCGGAGGAAACCAGTGATTCAGTAGATCTTGTGGAAAATGAAGAGATCTCAGAATCAGTAGAGATTAAGGAAATGGAAATAGAAAGTAGTAAAGACGAAGAAAAGCTCAAGAGCAGTGAATTAGAACCCGAAACAGAGCAAGAAGATGAAGAAGAGAGTGAGATAAAGCCACTTATAGCAGAAGTAAACTCCATTGAACAAGTACCAGAATCAAGTGTAGATCAAGCAACAGAAAACGTTGAAGATAACAAAATCCCTGAACCAGAGAAGGAAGAAGAAGAAGAAGGCAGCAGCAGTCAGAGCTATTCATCATTTTCAGAAAACTCTAGCGAATCCAGAGAAGATACATCGAAAGCAACAGAAGAAGAAGACGAAACATTCAATTCTAACATTAATAAAGAAATGGAAGAAACACTCTTGTCGGGACACGTTGACGAAGATGCAAAACAAGAAGAAGAAGAAGAAGAAGAAGAAGCAGCAAAATCTGATGATGTAGAAGTTGCGGGGACAGAAAAGAATGAAGTCAAAAAAGGAGACATAATTAAATCAGTTCTACCAGATTGCTTGCTAATGATGATGTACGAACCAAAATTATCAATGGAGGTATCCAAAGAAACATGGGTACACAGCACCGACTTCATTTTACCAGAGAGAGAAAAACAAGCTAAATCAGTGAAGAAAAGATTTAGCATCGATTCTAAACCTCCGCACCCAGCGCAGGATAACAGGAGCGATCAACATCTGCTAATACCGCCGAGGTCTTCCTGTTGCCTGCCGGCGGTCGGCGTTCCGGCGATGTCCATGGCGACGATGATAGAGCAGAAATTGGTGAATGCTGTGGCTTACGAGCCGTTCGTGTTGACGAGGTGCAAGTCGGAGCCGATGAGGATGGCGGCGGCGGCTAAGCTGGCGCCGGAGAGTTGTTTCTGGAAGAATAGGAAGTTTGAGCCGCATCGACCCGCTACGTACGGAGTCGGGTTTTGAGCTGACCCGAATCGGCAAGATTATACCCTGTGGTTGGTCGTACTGGAGAACCGTAGTCTTGCACAGGTGCTCAGGTTGTACATTTTCTTTTAAAACTTTTATCATTAATGAATTATTAGTAGTAGAAGTAATCCTTTTTTAAGTTTTTAAATTTTTGGGTATTTCATGATTGGATTTAAGATTATTATGTACTGATGTTGTAAAAATGAATTTTGCTCATTGTAATTTAATCGGTCTAACAAATTAAGCTCTTTCATGTTTTTGGTTTATACTTGATTCTTTCAGATATTTACATATTGTTAATTTTAAATGATTTGATTATATAAATATTCTCTTCGTACGAGTTAATAAATTTGAATTTCTTTTATTTTCAGTCTCCAAAAAGTATGGAAAGAAATAATAATTATTCAAAGAAATGAGTATGGTTACAAGGTAGTGACTAAACTGCTACTGAGGTCTCTGTTCGGACATGGGTTTGTTAGGCTGGTAGATGTGAGGACAGAGGAGATTTTGGACTTGATCCAGATTTAGGCAAATACTATTTAATTGTGTATTAGACATTTATAAATTACTAATGTTTGTACAATGATTGTTTAAAGAAAATGTTGCCACTAAACAAAAATGCAACAATAAAGTGTGACACCTAAACTTAATGTTTCAAGCACTAATTATTGTACTAAGTATTTTTTATTGGAATTAATCTATATGGCAGTACCAAAACATATAGATAGCTCATAGATACTTCAAGACATTTCTAAAAGGGACAGCCTGGTTTTGTATGCTAATCCGTGGCTTGTTTATATTATCATGTGACACAGTCACTTAAATAGCCAGTTCCCAACTAAAAATAGATCTAGAATTTGAAATTAATATATCAAAGATGAACATGTTACCTACTATTACGTATCTTTTTGTAGCGATAGATTTAAGCTTTGTATTTATTAAAGTTATGCGACATACATATATGCTTTATTTTATCCATGTTATCTATATCCTAGAGTTTTGTACACTTATTAATTGTTTTTTATTTCTCTATTAAATGTCTCACTTAATCGACGTTTCACTAACTAAAGTAGTAAGAGTAAATTTGAAGAAAAAAATAGTACAAATATTTTTCTTATTTTAAAAAAAATATAAAATAGTAATTTTAACGGCTAATATTTGAGACTGAATCGAGTAATTTGAATGCTCAAATGGTGTCTTCAGTATACCATATTTATCCTTGACTCCGAATCCAGCAACAATAACAACATATGCAGTGCGGTCCCACAAGTGGGGTTTAGGGAGGATAGCGTGTATGCAGACCTTATTCTTACCTTGTGAATGTAGAGAGGTTGTTCCCGATAGACCTTCGGCTCAAGAAAAACAAATAAAGAGAAGAACCCACATAAAAAATGCAGTAACCACAACCAGAAAATAAGATTATCGAAGTGAAAAAAATGACATGTAGTATTACACATCTAAAGGTAGAAATATGAGAATACATCAGTGCTACATGTATAAGAAAGCAATACGGGTACCAAAAAGACTAGCACTAGACTACTCGCTAACCTACTACTATAATCCTCAGCCTCTATTCCATCCAATCGAGGATCATGTTCTCGGCAAGCTGAAGATGTGCCATGTAGTGCCTAATCACCTCCTCTTAATACTTCTTCGGACTAACTCTACCTCTCTTAATTTGGCCCCACCGTAGCCAACCTTTCACACCTCTTCATCGAGGCATCTGTGCATCTCCTCTTCACATGTCTGCACTATCTCAGCCTCGCTTCCTGCATCTTGTTCACCACGTGGGTTACTCCCACCTTGTCCTGAGTATCTTCATTCCTAATCATATCTCTCTTAGTATGTCCACACATCTATCTGAGCATTCTCATTTTCGTTACTTTCATCCTCTGCACATGAGAGGTCTTAACTAGGGGTGTGCATTCGATTTATCGATTCGATTTTGACCCTTATCGATAATTACTTATTGATTATCGATTTGTACATATGCTTATCGTTATCGTTTCAATAAGGTTTCGATTTTTTTTATTTCGATTTATCTTTTGGGGCTTATCGATTCGGTTATCGATTACACCAATAAGAAAATTTGTGGGATTCCACGGAAAGTATATTGCTATAAACACGCCTAACTAATATGGACAAAAAGAAGCTAAAATAAGACGAACGCCGTTTATAACATAAAAATTGTGTCAAAGGCACGGAGAGAGAGAGAGAGAGGGAGAAACATACTATTGAAGTCGCCGGAGTACACCAGAGTACGCCGGAGTTCGCCGGAGTTCACTTTCTCTGCTGGGTTTGCAGTTCGTATTCGTGCTGCTTCTGGATAGCCTCGAGTTCAGATTTCCATGCTCGATCTCGATCTTGTGAGATCTTACGAAGTTGCAGGATTCGAGCATCCTCAGAATCTGAGAGCTCAACTAGTTGTTTCTCGGACTCCTCGAGCTTCTCTGACATTGCTGCGAGCTGATTCTTAGCTTCCTCTGCCTCTATTTGAGCCCTCCTTTTTAAGGACTCGGATGAAGTGAGCTGATCCTTTACCTTCTTCAACTCATCTTGGAGTTGAGCAAGCTCGGTTTCCAAGTCAGTAACTCTAACTGGAGGCTTCTTCTGTTTATACAAAGGTAAAAGCGGTGCTGAAGATTGGGTAGAGGAAATAATAGGGTTAGGGATTAGGGTAAAGGAAAGGGTATTATAGAATAAGGGTATATTTGTCTTTTTAGTATATCTTATCGATTTATCGATAAACCGATAACCGAAGAGGACAAAATTGAAATCGAAATTGATAACTCGATAAGGAAAATTTTGAAATCGAAATCGATAAATCGATAAACCGATAACAAATAATCGATTCGATTTATCGATAAACCGATTCGAATGCACACCCTTAGTCTTAACTAGCAAACACTTTGTCCCATATAACATAGTCGGTCTAACAACTACTCTGTGGAACTTGCCTTTAAGTTTCAGTGATACCTTCTTATCACCCAAGACGCACGATGTAAGCCTCAATTTCATACACCCCGTTCCAATACAATATGAGACACGCTTGTCAATCTTTCCATTAATTTGGATTATAAACCCAAGATACTTGAAACTACCTTTCGTAGGAATGACTTGTGTATCCAGCCTCAATTTTATGTTAGCCTCCTGTGTCACGTCACTGAACTTGCACTCCATATATTTTGTCTTAGTCCTCCTCAATTTGAAACCTTTAGACTCCAGAAGCTGCCTCCAAACCTCCAACCAAGTGTTAACACCGCCTAGCGTCCAATCAAAATTGTGTCATCTACACATGCACCAATGTACCTCCCCTTGAATTTGTCGCGTCAGCTCATCCATCATCAAAGCGAATAAGAAAGGGTTGAGGGTTGATCCCTAGTGCAACCCCATCATGACTAAGAAGTAACTAGAGTCTCCTTCTATTGTTCTTACCCAGGTCTTAGCTCTGTCATACATGTCCTTAATCGTCCTAGTATATGCGACTGGTATATCTCTAGCCTCGAAATATCTTCACAGAATCTCCCTTGAGACTTTATCCTAAGCCTTTTCTAGATTGATGAATATCAGATGTAAGTCCTTCTTCCTTTCCCTATACTAATTCACCAATCTCCTAACAAGATGAATGGCTGATCACGCCCAACTATGCCTTATAAAAAGGACAAAACGGTCGTTGCAAATATAATCTGGTTTACAAGTCCGGAGTCGAATCCCACAGAGAACTAAGGCTTAGCTACAGTTGTTCACTATCACCAAGAATACAAGCTTGAACAATTCCTAACTTATAGATATTAAGATTCTTGTGTTTAACTAACTAACTAAAAAATTAAGAATAATTAATTAACACTAAAGATACTACAGGTTGGAGAAAAGATTAAGGAGGTCTAGAGTTATGATTTTCCCAATTGTCGGAATCCTTCCCGCTATGTCTTCTATAATTTCGGTTAAGTATTCTCTACCGATCATGAGCGCTCTGCGTGTTGTAATTCTCTCCCGAGTAATTACGATAATTTACTAGACATACTCTCCCGAGTTACGCTAGCTGGCTTTAATTACAGCTCACTTAGATTGCACCCAAGGTTTCGTTATCCCTAATCCCACCTTCAAACCCTTGGTTATTGATTCCTCACATACGTCGGGAGTGATGTTGTTCAACAACTACCTAAATATGCACTCTCTCCCAAGTAATACATACTAAATAGGCACATCTAATTGAGGGCCCTTCAATCAACCACAAGAATAATATAGTTGAACAAGTAGAGAAAATACTACGGCTCAATTATATAAAAACATAACAAGAATTTATCCTTCAAAAGGTTCCATCAAAACCCTAGATAACAAATTAGATATTCATAATAGTATATAAAACTACAATACTAAAAGTCATAACAAACAATGAAAAAGAGGAAGAGGAAGGAAAAACTCGTAGAAGAATTCCCCGCCTTGCTCCTATTGTGTCTCTGCCTCCTTAGGTCGAATCTGTGTCTCAAATCTGTCCAACTTTCTCAAAATACTATTTTTCCATGTATATATAACAATTAGGGTTGGTCACAAACAATTATACTTTCTCCTACGCGAAAAAGGACACATTTTTCGGACAGGACGTGCGCGACCGCGCTTGGACCGCGCATATCCACTTTGATTCTGCCTGACGAGCGCGGCCGTGCACTTGACGCGCACTTTTCACCTTGTTCTGTTGGTAATTTGGTAAAACTTAAAACATGAAAGTTGTAGCCCTTTGTGTTAGCTTTCCAACCATATATTGTGGATCCCAAAAGGAGTTCTGAGCAAAAAATTATGTGCATTTTACTAGACAGTGCATAATATGCCTACTCGATTCGTCGTTTCGTTGCTCTATTATCCGTTGATCTCCGAACACGATCCCGGCTTTATTCCTTGGGATTTTACTCAGACTTCAAAGCTCCAAATCACTTGAATTCATTCCATAACATCTACATAGCTCGGAATCACTCCTACAAGGCATAAAATACACCATTAGTGCAAAATACTAGCGATTAAAGCTCAAACTCAATTAAAGCGCAGTAAATTGGAATGTAATAATCGACTAAAATACGTAATTATAGCCTATCATCAACACCCCACACTTAAACCATTGCTCGCCCTCGAGCAATCAAACTACACTTTATATAGACACGACCTTTTAAACAATTCTCCTAACTCATCACATCATGAATATTTAAAATAGACTAACCACAAAAGCATAACATCTTGACCTCAAGATTTGACTCACAAGTACCACGCATTATTCACAACTCACCCACTTACTCTAACATAGAGGTCAATGACATTACCTTTCCATCATGAATCAAGTGCTCTCACACAACAAAAGAGAGTAGTTCCACACAATAAAATTTAAGAACACTTAGGAACTCAAGATAGAAAGAATTCACTCACTCTTAGAAATAACATTCATATGCCACAAAAGATGCACCATAGGCTTGCCCGTAGTGTATTACTCTACTAATCGAGCTCATTCAGTCTAGGATCAAGTAGGACTTTATTTGGTTGTAATGTAGGCTGCGGGACAGGTAGGATGCATTTAGATATAAGAGTGACTACGGCCTCATTTGTTTGCACATAATGGAGGTCTGAATCTTAATCATTCAGATCTCAGACATTAAATGTGTTTGTTTTTAAAGTCTGAATCTTAATTATTCAGATCTTAAGCATTAAGTGTGTTTATTTTTTTTTTTTACTTCATAACCACTTAATGGGTCTGAATAGGTCTATATGATTAAGATTTATAACAGAGACTTAATTTCATTAAGATGCTATCATCCATATTCATTATTAACTGTTGTCAGCGACCACCATTATCAACTACCACCATACCACCCACCACCAGCACACTCAAACACCACCACTACTATCATCCTCAATCATAGCCGCCACTATTATCGACTACCACCGCCTACCATCCCTACCACTCCCACCACCATCATTCTCAACCACAACAAACACTCATCCACCTCAACTAACCACCCCATCACCATCAACAACCATAGCCGACACTGCCCATCATTATAAACTACCACCACCACCTTAATCAATCATAACTACTACCACCCATTATTATAAACTATTACCACCCACTACCACCATCCTCAATCATAATCGCCACCACTACCAATCACCACTATATACTACCCTGAACCACCACCATCAACTAAAACTAGCACTAACAACCGCCTCTGGTCGGCATTCACAAGCACTACCGTTAGCTATCACCACCAGCAACTATCATATTTTAAAAACTAACATATTTTATTGATAGAATATTAGATTAATTAGTATTTCGTATGAATTTTATATTTTTAATTTTTAAATAAAGATAAATTTTATATATTCAGATGTTAAAAATCAAACAGTCTTAATCATTTAGTATTCAGATCTTAATACACATCTTAATATTCAGATGTTTATTCAGATTCAGATGTCTTAATCTAAATACACATCTTGATATTCAGATGTGTATTCAGATTCAGACGTCTTAATCTTAAAAAAAACAAATGAGGCCTACACCTCCCTAAGCACTTTAATACATATACTTTAACATTTAAAACCCATACTTATGTCAAACCAAACTCCACCTTCACATCAATGTATATTACCCCATTCTTCTTTAAGCACACTTACATCAAAAGCCACCTATCAAGGAATTTTTTTTTCAATTCAAGTGGCTCTTACTTTTTCAAAACAGTGCACCTTTCTCCTTATTTCATTAGTTCCACTCAAAAGCCAAACCAGTCACCCCACACTTTAACTTTTACACAGTTCATAAACAATTCAAGTGCTCATGAGAGGTTAAAATGGTTCAAATAGATGGTTAATTCAAACAAATGGGTAAGGCTTATAATGTGGTTGCCAAAGAAATAGGATTACAGGCTCAAAGGGGTTAACTACGATACATAACAATTAGGCGGGTAAAATATACATATCTGGCTCAACAACGAAACGCCTATATCACTTCCAAGACTGGACAAAACTACTATTTCGCTTTGCAAACACACGGGGCAAGTTCTAGACATCAACTCCAATGCACAGAATAACACCCAAACCTCACACACACATGGCACATAACTCACTCAGGATTGGATTCATCAAGACACTCTAGTCAAAGCAGTTAAGCAAAGTTAAAACCATACAATTTAAGGTACTTATACAAGAGTCAAAAACTGAGCCTAAGCGTCACAACCAAAGTACTCACTATTCTCAAGGCATAACAAAGTCAAGAGATATTGCTTCATTTCAAAACACAACACAATGGCTCCTATTCCTAAAAAAAAAGACTAACTACACCCGGTTCAAATAAAACCCTTGAAAAAAAACCGCGGCACAAAAAAACCAAAAGGGTATTGCTACACTACCTAACAAAAAGAAAATTTTTTTTTTTTTAGACTTAAATCCCTCAAGAAAATTGTCTAATAGATCCATCGTCGGGAAAAGTCCAATATTTTCTATTTAAAAAAAAATATTAAATTAAACTAAAATAGTATAGAAAGTCACCCAGACAATCTCCTCACCCCACACTTAAAATTGTGCGTTGTCCCCAATGCACACCCATACATACAAGAGGGTAAAAGAAACTC